ATTTTTTATGTCTAATAGCAGCACCAATCCATCCTTCAGGTCTGTAGTGTTTGAGTGGTGTTTTGCTGGGCTACTCCACATTCTGCAACAGGAGATTCAGTTCAGACATGCAAGTTCTACCCTGCCTGTTTCAGAGTCCAGATGCTGTGTAATGTAGCATATAGAGCAAACACGATGATGTGAACTCTCTAAAAACCTGAACATATGTTTTCATCCCATTATGACATTCTTGTTCCATTAGTGCTATGTTTAAATTGGGTGCCCCCTAGCATTTGTAAACTTGAATTATTTTTTCTCTATAAAAGAGGGATGAGTATCAGGCACGGTTCCTTACAAAAATATTATTTTTTATGCTGCATTCCTGCTTAGTAGGAGAAAGAGCACAGACTGGAGGGGAGTAGTGTCTGATGGGAGTGCCTTGAGCTCATGGATGCTCGGCACTCTGGGTATACTGTAGCATTTTTGAGCTCACTGTAGCCCTCTTGTGTTCTGCAGATTGAGAAGCTAAGACAACTGTGTGGAATAATGGTTAGAGCTCTGGACTCATATCAAACTTGGGATGAAATCCTGCTTAAGGTGAAGCAAGGTACTTCACTGAGATTGCTGTAGTAAAATACCCAGCTCCTGAATTTTCATTGACTTTAGGTCTGGTCAGATCCTTGTTTAGCTCAATGTGAGGATTATAGCCATTGAGAAAGGTTGTTTACGGAGGATTGGTGAACTTTTTTTGTTAAATAAAATGAATTAGAAAACCAAAGATTCTATACTTGTTCAGAGATGCTTTAGTAAAGGACATCCGATTAGGAACAGAAAGTTTTGGAACATGTAGCTCAGGATGTTTGTCAATCTACTATGTCTTCATTTGTTGTCATTAATAATGCTCAACATTAGGGCGGAGCTGTGGCTCTGTGGCTCAGGATCTGCACCTGCGCCTGGAAGGTTGCCGGTTCAAATCCCGCGGCCCGCAGAGGAATCCTACTCCGTTAGGCCCCTGAGCAAGGCCCTTAATCCCAACTGCTCCAGGGGCGCTGCATAAATAGCTGACCCTGCGCTCTGACCACAAGCTTCTCTTTCCCTGTCTGTGGGTCTCATGGAGAGCAAGCTGGGGTATGCGAAAAGACAAATTCCTAATGCAAGAAATTGTATATGTCCAATATAGTGATCTTATAAGCACTCTTATCTTATAGTGCTTATGTGTGCTGAAAATAAATGTTCTTTGAAAGCTACAATAAAATATATATTTTATGGATTCTTTACAGGAACAAACATTTACAAGAGGGAATAAATGATGGACATTTTAAACCTACTGCTCAAGTAATTTAAGACTTTTCTCTGATGATCTAGTCCACCCTGCTTAGTTTCCTAAAATCACCAGTCACCTCTGTCTGCCATGAACAAAAAGACCATAGCCACCACTTTGAACGTTTGTACTCAATGAGTCCCTCAGACACTCTCCCTAACAGAAGTATTGAAATTAGACTGTACTATAAATTAGCGTTATAATATTATTCAGAGAAGATGCTAGGAAGTTTCCTTCGCTGAGAGTTGATTGAGCACCTAAATTATTCTGTCGAGAAAACCGATCACATTAAAAGTCATTTTGCTCTCCAGGTGTACAATAATGAAGACGAGTGGACGATTACTCTGGTCTAATTTGTGCGATATGCATGTACAAGATAGGTCATTTGTTTTTGGAAGATACATTCTTTTTTCTAAAGACACTCTCAAATAAGGTTTAGTGCTGCAAAATTTTAATGAATTTGTTTGCATTTCCTCAGAAAGGGACAGCGTCATCAGTTATTTCACTTTCTTAATTATCTAGACCTTCCATGTAACCAGTTTTTCTGTGTGAAAATTCCATAGCCTGCAAGGTTGTGCAGGAGCTTGGTAACGTGCCTCTGACACACTTATATCCAGTTATTAGCAAATGTGTGCACGAATATGGGCCCCTGCAAATGTAAAAGTCCTTTTCTCAGTCGGCTGAAGCCAGAAATGTTCTAGATTTTATGCTTTTGCTTGCTTCAGAGGTTTTGATAAAAGCAATAAAAAATTAGATAGTTTTTAGATTTGTACCTGTACAAATTGCATCGCACAAAAGAGGAGACATTAGTTTTTACGTGCAGAATGTGCTCAAACACGGATGGAGCTTTAATGTTTCGTTTGTTTATATAGCTAAATCAATTGAGAGGAGTTTCTGCTTTCCAGTGAAAACCTGGAGCTCTCTTAGTAGAGCAAGCTATTATTGGAGCCATGTGAGAGCAGTAGTGAAGTGGTATCGAAGAGCTAAAAGGTACAACAGAAATGTGTCAACCAGCATGTGAACGCATGACCCTCCTCTCTGAAGGCCAGACTGCTAACACTGTTCCTCATGACACACCTCTTACTTGTTCTCCCTGTCCTGAGTCCAGGATGATGCCTACTGCTTGTTAAACAGTGAGGAGTCGTGACCTGGTGTTGTTTATTGCTTCTGGTGAATCGATTAATAAAGAAGACTTGCCCTTTATTCACAATTACTTGACATCCTTAACATTTAGTTGTTTGTTTGCATTTGTAGTATAAAAAGTACTATATTGAGTTATCACTTGAAGTTGAAACTCTAGCAATGATTAAATGCAGGGAGTGTATACATATGGTATATATTAAAATTATAAGAATCATTCAATATCTTTATATGATATAAGATTCAGATCTGAACATTTTTAGGTTGTACATTAGGTCATCAAAAATATTGTTACGTATTTTTTCTAGCAAAAAAGGCATACTGTTAAATAACCATATACATTGTATTGCTTTGATGTTTCTATGGACCTGTGGAGTTTGTGGTTGAGGTGTGTTAAGTTAGGATAGGTCTTAGGATCTGCTGTGATAGTGCTGAAAGAGAGGCATACAGAACTGTAGTTCCTTGTTTATCATGATAGAAGGTCATACTCCACACTTACATGGATAGTGAATAATCCGCTGATTAGATTTGTAGTAGTCGCAGTCTTTGGCTTTTGTTGTCATAAAGCGAAAGTCTGCTCCATATCTAAACCAAGTTCTTCATGAAATTTCACCTTAATGAGTATGTCAACTGCATCCTGGCCAGGTACTTAATAAAAAGCTGCTTTTTTAGAGGTTGTGGCAAGACCATTCCTTTTAATTTTGGCATGTTTAATTTTAATGATGATAATAATAATAATAATAATAATAATAATAATAATAATAGTAATTGCTTACACTTATACAGTGCTTTTCTGGACACTCCACTCAAAGCGCTTTACAGGTAATGGGGACTCCCCTCCACCACCACCAATGTGCAGCATCCACCAGGATGATGCAACGGCAGCCATAGTGCACCAGAACACTCGCCACACATCAGCTCTCAGTGAGGAGGAGAGCAGAGTAATGAAGCCAATTCATAGATGGGGATTATTAGGAGGCCATGATTGGTAAGGGCCAATGGGAAATTTGGCCAGGACGCCGGGGTTACACCCCTACTCTTTATGAGAAACGCCCTGGGATTTTTAATGACCACAGAGAGTCAGGACCTCAGTTTTACGTCTCATCCGAAGGATGGTGCCTGTTTATAGTATAGTATAGGACCCACATGGACCGCAGGGTGAGCACCCCCTGCTGGCCCACGAACACCTCTTCCAGCAGCAACCTTAGTTTTTCCCAGGAGGTCTCCCATCCAGGTCCTGACTAGGCTCACACCTGCTGAGCTCCAGTGGGCTGCCAGCTGTGAGTTGCAGGGTGATATGGCTGCACGTAATTCAACCCCTTCCTTTCTGGACAGACTGTTTCGAATTCACAAGAAGCTAAACCATGGAAAAAAAATTTAGGCTCGGGGCAGCACGCTTTTCCTTTGGGCTTCCTCACTCTGTCACACTGGTCTCCGGCTCAGACACCAGCCCGATCTTCAGGTCATTAAAGGTGCCTCTTTGGCTCACCATAAGGGCAAAGTATTCAAATATTGACCATGTGCATGCCTGCATGTGTGTTAGACACATAGAAGGATTTGTGTGAGCCTCAGCAACAGGTTTTGGTAGAAGGACATGTGTGAAACCCAATATGAATGTTTGCTGAAGTTTTACACCATTGGAACCACTTAACCTTTAACATGTTAAGTAAAGGCACCTCTCACAGAATTAATATTTATAATAATAAACTATGCCTTTAAAGGTGGCTTTTCAAAGCGCTTTACAGAACAACAACAGCAATAAATAAAAAGAATACACAAGATAAAACAAAATTACAATATACAGAGACCGTGGATGGTGGTACTATGAAAAGCAGAGGGGTGAAGAATGGAACCAGTTAAGTTAAGGCTCTTTTAAAGAATTATGTTTGGAGTCTGGTTTTGAAGGAGTTTAGAGAAGGAGACTCTCTGATATCCTTGGGCAGAGAGTTTCAGAGCTTGGGGGCATAACTGGAGAAGGACCTGTCACCCATATAATGTAGACGGGCTTGGGGGACAGTAAGGGGACCAGAGTTAGAAGAGCGAAGGTTGTGAGGTGGGGAGTAGGGCGATAATAGTTCAGACAGGTACTGAGGTGCCAAGCCATGCAGAGCCTTGTAGGCGAGCATGAGGATTTTAAAGTCCACACGGAATTTGACCAGAAACCAGTGCAAGGACTCCAGGATAGGAGTAATGTGATCACTTGCACTAGACCTGGTCAGGATTCTGGCTGCTGAATTTTGGACATACTGCAGTTTGTTCAAAGTAGATTTAGATACCCTAATTACAGTAGTCAATTCGAGAGACCACAAATGTGTTGATCAGCTTTTCAGCCACAGTTAGTGAGTTCTAATATTTCATCTTTGTGTGAAAAGAGGTTAAATCCTTTCCAGGTGAATCCCTGGAAAAACCACTCTGTTGTGGAACAAGAACTACACGTGATGTGCTGAGGTAGTGCTGTTGAACTAAGTACTGATGTCGAAGATTAATCTAAAAAGGCTTCTTGTTTTACGAACAAACTCAGTGTGTGTACTATTTAATCCTTGTTTGTTTGTTTTTTTAGGATGGCAGAGCCTCGGTTTAATAATCCCTATTTCTGGCCTCCTCCACCAACCATGCCCAGCCAGGTAAGAACATCTACAGTTTTTTGGGGGCGGGTTTCTCTTGCGGTTTCTTTAAACTGTGACGCTCTGTTAGACAAGAAACCAGTATCAGCCATGTGCTGTGATCATTCGCTGTTAAATAAAGGGGTCTTCTAGTGTTCATTGCAAACAGAACTCTTAATTATTGGCTCATCTAGACTTTAAAATAAATTATTTTGCATGTTCAAATAACCCAGTGGTTGAGACTGCACTGTGAAGCCAATTAACGTATGCCCAGATTTCAGACTTCTTCAAGGTCTTCTAAAGCTTATTAACTGAAGGATGCAACTGAGTTAAAGCACAGAAATCCTTTCCGAGCTGTTAAATTTAACAAGGGCAAATTAGACTGAGTGTTTAACACGGATTGGAGCCAAGACACTACAGATCCTTCAGCAGCAGAGTGTGACTGGCGCACCGGTAGGCTTCTGAATACAGTATCGCAAAACCAAGTGCATTTACAGCAGGTTGGTTCAGGGTGTTGGGGTATTTGAAGAGCATGTTTCTTATCAGTGTTGATGTGTAAAAGGTGCATATCGCCAGTGTACGATCTGAAAACTTTGACTTTTACAGACTCCAAGAGACATAGCGAGTTGGACTTTACCTGTCCCTTGTCCTTGATCACACGTCACCTCAAACCTCCGTGTTTGCAAAGAGAGGAAGAAAAGCCTTGTTAGAGTGGGGTTAACTGGAGCAAGAATGTTAGGCGCTGTGCTCTTGGGATGTGTTGTGTCTTGTTCTTGCTGTGCTCTTGGGCTGCCTCTAGGGAGACCTCCTCTTCCCTGTAGGCGCTGTGGGGCTCCGCTTGGAAAGTGATTGAGCGCACGTTTCCACACCGCGCGCGCGTGGTCTGAGCCTCTCGTTCTCTCCCATGAGAGCCCCTCCCAAGAGCATAACAACTTTCTACGGTTTTATTAAAAAAAGAGAGAGATCCTTAAATTACCCTTTCCTGTCAATGTAATTTACGCACAAATAATTAATTGTTCACGGTAGAAAGTTCTATACCATTTAGCATAAAGATCACACCCACTTGCTCACATAAGTGATGGACATAATTAGTAAATAGGTCAAATCAACATAGACACAGACTTAACACAGGTTATTGTATCTAGTAATGTTGGAGGCCCAAAATACCTATAAATGGCATCAAAACAGCTTTCCTCCAGGTCCTCCAGTTTCCTCCCACAGTCCAAAGACATACTGGTAGGTAAATTGGCTTCTGGAAAAACTGGCCCTGGTGTGAGTGTGTGTGCCTGTGTGTGCCCCGTGATGGACTGCTGACCCATCCAGGGTGGACCCTGCCTTGTGCCCGGTGCTTGCAGGGATGGATTGTATGGACAGATTAAATATTTTTCTTAGTAAAATGATCTGCTTTGATGCTTTAATTAAGGTTTTAAATAGTTAGCAAAACCTGAACATAAAGACATAAATGCACATTTTTAACTGTAGCTGGAAGCCTTGAAGACTCAAGTATTCATTGACCCAGATCCAGCTGTTGTCTCATTAGATAACAATAAGTCTACTTTTAACAACATCCTCGTCACCTCTAAAAATTTAGGAAATCCCCTTTGCCCTCTAGTATAACTGCAACAACTACTCTAGAGGCTAAGAAACTTTGAAGTTTCTTACCTTGCTTGGAAAGATAGGGTCTTGATTTTTAAGTGTGCACTGTCCTCAGCCAGTCAGGTGACTCTCGCGTAACAGACACAAGTTAAAACAATTATTTTGAACACAGCAATTTAACAAGCCAACCAACGCCAGGAGCACGCTCAGAAACCAAAAACCCTCTGCTGCTTTCCCACAATAAAAGTTTTGCTGCTATAAGAAAGCAGATATCAAATACTGTGACCAAATCAGTTGACCCAATTTGAGATAAAGACATTGCCTCTTCCTTGAGGCCAAAATACATTTTTGACTCATGAGTGTTTCATAGACAGGAAGTGAGGATTGAAACAGAAGAAGCAGTGCTTGTTTACTGTTTTTAGACCTTTGTTTAAGCTTTTCTAGATGTATGTTTTTCTCTCAAGCACAGTGGGGGGGAACAAAAATTGGCTTTACTGCTGGAGTGTGTTTCTGCTCCCTTGAGGAGGAGCTGGAGTGTTTCCTGTAGAACATTTATTGGAGGTGTGGACAGGGCAGTGTGTGTGGAGGTACACGGAGTGTGTAGAACTCTACAGGTACTGTGGATTGTAGAGCTTTGGGAGCAAGCAGACAGGCTCTTGTCCGGTGGATCCTGTTGTTAAGGTCCATGTTGGAGCAAATGACAGACATTGTTTATTCAGTTAACTGTTGAATGGCCAGATGTTACACTGGAAATCTACTTTCATTTCAGTGGATGAATAGGCTTCTTAATTGAACAGATCACCTCCTTCACTTTTATTGTTTCAGGAGTTTAGATGTTTTTTTTTAACTTTGGCCACCCCTGTTTAATATCCTCAGCACTGCAAGGGGGGGTGAGTAAACATGTAAAAGGAGTATTGGGAATATAGCCGGTATATAGCTCGTATCTAGATGAGCTATGTTGGTACAGACCTAACCAGAATTAGGTAGATAAGACTTTATTGATCCCAAAAGGAAATTGATGTGTTGCAGCAGTACAGCCCAAGACAAGCAAAAACAGACATAACAATAGACAAAAAATTATAGAAAATAACTAAAAATAAATACAAAGGTGTGTGCAAAATATGATGATCATAGTCACTGTGAAAACAATAAAATATGTGCAAAATGTGCATAGGTTTATACAGATTGACTATTATGACTATAATTCAAGCTAAAGGTGCTACTACCAAGCACTGACTCAGGTGTTTGTACCCATTTTTCTAGGTTTTCATCTGAGATTACTTTTCAGAATGTTTGGGCATTTGTTTTTCTCTTGGAGGTTGTGTGTTACAATATGTGAAAAAAAGTTAAATCAATTCTGATGAATGTGACATGATTTCAGGCTGTCAGGCCACAGTATGTGTTATTTTGGAAAAAGTGTGTAGAGCTTCTATGGACACTATAACCAGAGTGTGTTCCTGCCCAAAAATATTGCACACAATGCTGAGAAATTGAGTGTGTAATACCCTTTTTTCTGCCCAAACCGGGTTTTGCCTAGACTATGGCCAGCAGCCATATCACCCTGCAACTCACAGCTGGCAGCCCACTGGAGCTCAGCAGGTGTGAGCCTTGTCAGTACCTGGATGGGAGACCTCCTGGGAAAAACTAAGGTTGCTGAGGTGTTAGTGGGGCCAGCAGGGGGTGCCCACCCTGCAGTCTGTATGAATCCTAATGCCCCTGTATAGTGATGGGGACACTATACTGTTAAAAAAGCACAGACTTTCCAATGAGACATAAAACCGAGATCCTGACTCTTTGTGGTCATTAAAAATCCCAGGGTTTTTCTTGAAAAGAGGAAGTTTGTTACCCTGGTGTCCTGCCAAATTTCCCCCTGGCCTTTACCAATCATGGCCTCCTAATAATCCCCATCTATGAATTGGCTTCATTACTCTGCTCTCCTTCCAACTAATAGCTTATGTGTGGGGAGTGTACTGGCGCACGATGGCTGCCATCGTATCATCCAGGTGGGGCTGCACACAGGTGGTGGTTGAGGGAAATCATTATTACCCATAAAGTGCTTTGAGTGCAGTGTCCAGAAAAGCGCTATAAATGTAAGGAATTGTTACTAGACTAAAGCTAAATCAATTTACTGCTGAAAAGCTCCTAACAGAAACAGAGACATCTGGCCACGTGACACCAATACTGGCATCTCTACACTGGCTCTCAATTATACCAGGTCAATATCGTGTTCCTGTAGTGGACTGGCGGTCTGTCCAGGGTGTATACAGTCTTGTGTCCATTGCTTGAGGGGTTAGGCTTTGGCTCTGGCGTGACTCTGTATTGGAAAAAATGATTACAGAATGAATAGACGATTTTTTTTAGTTTTACAAAGCCCTTAAAGGGACAGGCCCCATCTTAAATGATCTTACTTATTGATCCCCTGGACTCTGAGCACTTTCAAAAAGCTTACTGGTGTTCCAGTATTTGCCTTCA